CAGAGCCGGGCAAACTCGGATCTTTTGCATCCCGAGTGATCCTCAAGGTTAACCAAGTAGCTCCTCATTGATCCTGCGAGTGCGAGTGAGATGATTCTTTCCTTTTCTTATCCCTTCCATTTCGTAGGTGAGTCCCCTCTTCCATAGCCAAACCCAATAGTTTTGCGAACGTAGTAACGAAAATTATTATTTAAGTTGCGAGAGTGGCTTCGCTCGTCTACGGGATGAAGGGGCTTGATAAGGGAGTGGAAGGGAGAAGAAAACAAAACAAAATTATTCATTACTGTTTACTCTCTCGTACTCATTGAAGGGTATAGAGTGACTCGAACTAACCTCAGGTAGCGGCTCCTGCGAAGTATAAGTTTGCCCGGCTCTGAGCTAAACGGTGGCAGTTTCAAGTGACATAATTAATCGCTACCTAAATAACATCTGACTAATACCTCTCTACCATTTTTCCAAATGAATTCATACATAGGTATACCAGTAGATAAAATAAGTACCGATGTCATAAATCCAGATTAAAAAAATCGAACTCGTTTCGTTGTATTAGAAAGAAAATCTGATATACTTGTACACAAAAGCAATAAATTTTTTTGGATAACCTTTATAAAGGTGTTAATGTTTTCGGATTAAGTTATTAAAACGATGAGGCAGATTTTTGAGTCATTAGCAGGTAAGCCGAATAGGTAGGTAACGTTTTTAGAAGGCCACCAAGCTACGAAGCCACTGATATACGCAATTTATGCTTATTATTAATCCTACTTATCAAACCAATAAATTAAGGTTATCTGTCGAATTCACTTTGTTAATCATAAAAATCGTGGGAATTAAAAATTTAATGTTAATATTCTATATTATTAGCTTCCTGTATATCTTTTAACAACTGAGTAATCTTTGAATAATATCGACAAAAGTGATACATCAGAAAATGGGTAAGAATGAATCTTGAGATGTACCTAAATTTCGATTTTATATGGAACGCTAATAATTAGAAATAAATTGTGAATTGTGACATTATTTTTCACAAATTTCGACAAGTGGTCTAAATGAATAATGTTTAGAATTTTCTATGACGTTTGACATTTCTTCAGTTTGGTGGGGATGTGGTCTGCGAATCGACAATCAGTTATCAAACATCTCTTCACAATAAGTGAGAATGTATAAAAGAATGACCTTCATTGTTATTTCTTGGGTGGCCCTCAGCTTGAACATTCTCGACTGTCTCTATCTTTAAGGTTTCCCTCAGCTAAAATTTACTGGACTAAACCAGACCTAAAAAATTTCTGTTAGTAAAAAAGTCTCGATATCTAATTGAATACTGTCCTATGAATGAAGGAAATCGCTTCTAACACTATATTAGAGCATTTTATATTCATTTCGATCAAAGTTTTTGGAATTTTCTATAATGTTTAACATTTGTGGAGCGAGCTTGCAGGTCGACCAGCGGCCACAAACACCCGTTTAGAATAACCATCAGAATGTTCTTTAATGTTTCTGGGGTGATCTTCAACTAGAATGTTCTCGAATATCTAGAATTGCCTTGTCTTAGAGTGAACTAGATCGGAAGAATCTAGTACGTACTGGAATACTCCAGTCATGAAGCTGGATTCTGACATTAAATTAGGACATTTTGTTTATTTCGACCAGTATCAGGTATAACAGCAAGTATCAGTAAATGGCGACATACACTACTTCACTCGATATTGAATTAACAAAAATAAATAATATTCTAAATACCTAATAGCAATTCCGCGACCAATCATACGGCTCACACACAACCGTAGGTGTATTTTCGTCTAATTTTTACAAAACTGTACAGATGCTTTGAGTAAAATCATTGAGGATACAAGCGTAGCACGTCACACTGACTGATGATGTAACAGGTCTTTGAAATATACTTTTTACAACAAGTATATTTCATGCTGGATTACCCGATTTATCAAATGATGCTCTCTGTAAGTTTTATCGACAAACATCTCAATAAATATGCAATAATAAATAACAACCACCGCCCTTGTACACACCCTAAACGGGAGGTAAAAGTATCTTAGGAATAGATACAACATTATAAAATAAATATTGATGACGTATATTTGATATAACATCAGTTGGCAACTAAAATTCGGTTTTAACATACAACCCACTACAACTGGACGTAAAAGCTAAAATTACTTCATTAAGTTAACTGTTGTTCGTTAGCTGCTCGGTCTGAGAGTTTAATGTTTCCAGGAATAAGAAGCAAGCATGTACATGTACATATGTGTGTATAGAAGAGATGAAGAAGAGCGACGTATAAAGAGTAAAAACCGCGTGGCGCGCTTTCGGTTGCCCATAATTTGAATGTTTTGAAGGAACACATTACAACTGACACATAAAAAAGCAGGTGAGAATGCTGTGCCGCCCATAAAAATTAAATTATTAACGCTGTAAGTCCGAGTCCACTTACGCCTTGTGCTTTCGGTAATTACAAAATCTTCGCATTGCTACACGGAAAAGAAAACTTGATGCTAATTACAATCTTCACATTTTAACTAACAACAACACAACAATGAAATCTTTAAAACCCTCCATTCGAGCATTTATGCTTTTTATCCTAAACAAAACCATTCGAGATTACTATGTACTCATATCGAACGAAATGAGAAATAAATACTTATAATGCCGTAGTTATGAATATTCCTGCTACAAATAATAAATAATTGCCCTAATTGTACCACGATGTTTTAGTAAATGATTACCGAGCGATTTGTTAATGTATGAAACTGTTAACATCTTGTAGTGGTCGCATACAATTGCAGGCTGCAATAAAAACAAATTCTATTTGTACATATAAATGAAACTGAAATGTCTCTTTTTAATTTTTAAACAACTGTCATTTTTAAAATCATGTTATCTTATCATACAAACGACTCTAGCAAAAATTATTGTTTATCTCTGTCGCATTATATGGTTCAATTGTTGAAACGGCTGAACCGATATCGATGGAACATTAGCACATTACAGACATGAAGAAGAAGTTGTTAGTAATTTGGGCTACTTTTAAAGTTACATCTTTATGGATTAGAACAGGGATGGCGAACCTTTAAGTACCGTCGTGCCATTTTTATAAAGAAAAGTTTAATCAGGTCATAGACGTGCCATCAAATAATTTTGTCTCTGTGATTATTGGGAAAATAATGATAATAAATAATATCAACTCAAAATTCTACAAGAAAATAGGAACATTCTGCAATGTTTAAATTATACGTGTAATTTAAATTAAAGTAAAATTAGTGTGACTTCTGTTTTTGCAGATTAGATGACAAATAACTAATATTAGGGTTGTAAGATGTTAATTTTAGCGGAATGCATGCTGAACTGGAGTCATCTACCAAACGGTTTATAACTGCGAGTTTTTGATGTTATTAATCTCTGAAAATAACGACTCGCAGGCATAGTTTGATGAAAACATTATTAAAATATCATATGCCAGCTTTTTCAAAAAATTAAATGTGTTTGTTATCGAATTCCATGTTTCCAAAATTTTGTTATTAGCATTTTCCCTTGTATTACCCGTCAATCTTTCTGTTTCAATTATTTCTAATTTTCTATTTCCTTGTTCCAACAACCTTTTGAATCATATTGAACTAGACTGGAAATCAATCAGCTGCATTTCAGATTCTTCAATTTATTTTATCAAATGTTACATC